TGGATAACCGACTCAACAGAAACAAAGTCCACAAGTGGATATGTTTTTACTGTTGGTGGAGGATCAATATCTTGGAAATCTTCCAAACAGACGTGTATCGCTTGTTCTACAATGGAATCAGAGTTTATAGCTTTGGATAAAGCCGGTGAAGAAGCTGAATGGCTTCGAAATTTCTTAGAAGACATTCCGTTCTGGCCAAAGCCTTTGGCTCCTATTTGCATACATTGTGATATTGAGGCTGCCATAGGACGGGCAGAGAGCGTTAGGTACAACAGAAAGTCTCGTCATAGACGACGAAGACATAACACCGTTAGACAACTACTTTCTAGTGGAATTATCACCATTGATTATGTAAGATCAAAGGATAATGTGGCGGATCCACTTACAAAAGGCTTAACTAGAGAGGGAGTTGAGAAATCATCTAAGAGAATGGGACTATGGCCGAGGACAAGTCAACATGGCGGTAACTCTACCTAGTATTTTGGTTGTTCCGAGATCTAGGTTCAAGGAGCTCAAACAAAGTTGTGATTGACCGGTTCAACATTGTCAAAACAAAATCTTTGGTCCATTCTCGTGATGAAGACAATGTTCAGTAACAAGGATAGAACTTTACACGTTCTTTAATGATTACCTAAGTTTGATGAGGTATTTATCAAATAATGTCAATCTAAAGGATTACACGTTAAGGAATCACCTATGTAAGTGTGAAGTGAAAGCCGCTTCAATGAGAATTCTGGAAGGCCAATTCTCTACGCACTTATGAAACTAGGCAGTGTTCATGGCTAAAACGAACACAACAATGAGAACCAAAAGATGGTTCAGGGTTGGTTGTGTGTCATATGGTTGTCTAGGTATACACTAAAGTTCGACGGTTCAAAGATATCAAATTTATCGATTGACCGAGTATATCCGACATATGTTCACTACGGAAAGTTCAAGGGAAACCTACTTATCCAGATGCAATTAATCCTTACTTGCACAATCACATAGCTTTCATCTATGATCTTTCTTGATACAGTCATTCTCATTCATGTGGGGGATTGTTGGACTTTAAGCCATTGGGCTTTAAAGTAGAAGAAGTGTGAATTGGAAATGGAGGGAAAATGAAAATTTGAAGAAGTGAACTTTTGTCTTGCACTTTGTACCTCATTAGTGAGGGACAATCACATTTGTGTGCTTATATATAGATTCACTTCTTAAAACTCTTAAAAGGAGTTGAAGAGAATGAACCCTCGCGTCATCGTCGTCGCTCGTTCGGCTCGGCTTTGGCTTCGGCTTTAGATTTGGATTTGGATTTGGATTTGGATTTGGATTTGGATTTGGATTTGGAAAATGATCGATCGATAAGATTATTTTTTGGACAATATTTATTTAATTATTTAATAACAAATCACTGCTGAAAATACGCCATAACCCTGCTGAAAGTTCAGAGGGCCTCGCTGGTCGTGGTTCTGCCGTGACCGCGGTAGAATCGCGGCAGTCAGATTTAGAGAGCCTCTCTGGCCGTGGTTCTGCCGCAATCGCGGTAGAACCGCGGCAGGCCGCGTATTTTCTGAAAAGGCACCTTTCCAGACACCTCTTCTGATATTTGCCTATAAATTCTGAGGCAAGGCTGCATCTTCAAAATACGAAAAACACTCTAGAACTTCTTTCTTTCTGAATATACTGCATCCTAATTCACAGTCTCTCTCTCTCAAATTCGTAAGTGTGATTTTGCTCCGATCTTTGAGTTCGTTGGTATCCTGCAGTTTGTATTGCCACTGTTGCAGGAAGGTTTATTCCGTTTTATCCTGGGAGGATTTAATCCATTACTTTGGCAACATGTGAGGGGGTTAAAATTCCTTAAGGACACACAAGAAAATTGTGAACTCGGAATATTTCTGATTCTTTACTATTTTATACATTTCTTTATTCTTCTAACAGTTTTCTGATTTTTTGTTTTAACATAGTAACGCTCACACTATTTTCTGCCATACTTACTCCATCGCCCCCAAACTACACAGAGAAAATTACACGGATAATTAAATGTTCCATCAACATATTATATAATTATATTCAAGATTAAAGTTGTTGGTAGACTATAAATAAAGAAAATTGTAAGAAGAAGAATATAAGCAAGGATCTTATCCACTTTCGCATGACTATGACAGATTTTTAACATCTAGAATATTAAAATAATAATCTCCTTCTCAAGTGATAAAATAGATTATAAGTCACGCAGGTCACTTTGTAACCATGTCTTCGATCCTCTTGCTAGAAAAGTTACTGCGAGTTTTCTAATTTAGTTTAGCTGGTCATGTAAAGTACTGCTAAAGCCAAGAGCTCATGATTGAGCAACATTTTAGTAGTATTTGGAATGTATTTTCATATTCTAATTATTTCATGACACAACACTACTCTTCATGTTTCGTGTTGTACTTAAAAAAGAGACTGAGAGGTTGTAGTTATGGTAAAAAGTCAGAAACACCCCACACTTTAACTAACTATATTCTTTTTAGGAATAGTACCCCAAATTCCGAGTGACGTGAAAGTGAATTCAAAGCTAATTAATTACTCATCTGTCTTCCCTCCCCCCCCCTCTCCCTCCCCCCACATAAGATGTAATTCACCTTTTTAAGAAGAAATTTGCTGGAGCAAAATATAGGTATTTGAAATTATCTCACATTCTAGTAAGTTGTATAGAGTAACAGATGAATCTTCAGACATGATAATATTATTCTTGTGAAACCAGGGGAAAGAGCTTCTTTTCTACTGGTCTTGCAGATTAATTAAGAAAATCTCTTTTGTGCTTTCAAGGGCAGAAAGATATAACTTCAACAATAATAGAAATGACTCGTTCATCTGATGAGGTGATGATAGGAAAGAAATAACATAATTTAATCTATCAGTATCATGCAGTATCTGCAAGATAGACATTATAAATCTGATATTAGAAGAGAGCTTGATGAATGAAAATACATGATTATCAGAATTAGAAAGATAGAAAGATAGACATGGAGGAAGCAACGATATGTAATATTAAAACATAAGAAATTCCCCACGTCTCTTGGTGTCTCATGATCATCTATTTTTCTTTCAGCCACTGGTATAAAAATTATATGTTAAAAGTTCTAAATATACGGCAGAATCACTTGTCTAAAGGTCATGGAAAGTATATTCGTACACATCGTGCCAGACAGAATCTCGGTAGTTAGGGTACATTTTAAAGTTTTTGGACTTGCTTCATATATTTTGTTGCTGGTAAAAACTGTCAGAATGTCAAACTTTAGACACACTACAATCGTATTTCATAATACATGATTCGTATCAACAATAAAGAGAAAATTAACTGGAATAAAAAAAAAGAATGAACATTTACTAGTGTTCCGAAGAACAGCCATTAAACTTTGCTTAAGTTTTGCTAATATCCATTTCCACCACCATGATACGAAAAGAAGTTATACTAGACAACCTCACCCCATCTCAATCAAATGGAAACTTGTCCATATGCTTTCCTCGAAAAATCAGATTGAGGAACCAAATTTTGTTAACATGGGATCATCAAAGAGAGAAATATAGAGCTGTGAGCATAAGAAGTGGCATTATTGCAGCCAATTTAAATTACGATTCTCTTGTATAAAGGCATGAAATACATTCATTAAGGTCTTTTTCACAACTAAACATGCTCCTTAACAGAATTTGAGAGAGACCAAATAAATGAGTTTTAACAGAAATTAAGCCACTACCGTCTGCTTGGTCCAAGAAGCTTTTGCTATCAGAAACTCCATATCTTGTTGATTGGTAACGCATATAGCTACTAAGACACTCCATAGTTCCAAAACCAAGATAAATTATCATATTATTTCTCACCGGTCATTTTCCTAGACAGTCTTCTCACCAGAACTAAGATCAATTCATTTTCTAAGATGCCCTGAATTTCTGAGATAATTAATTTGATAATTTATTTTTTTAGCCTAAAGTACAAAAGAAACTTAAGACCTCCTTATAAAGAAAGTTACATAGTGGCTGATGACAATCCAAATTACCTTTTCAATTCTCAGTTATACTGTAAGACCTCAAATTAATTATAAAAAATAAAAAATAAACCAATACATTGGCAGAGAACTAATGTCAAAGCAACTTATTTCAAGCATTAGTATCACCTGTTTAACTCGACGTCAGATAAAAGATTTCACTCAAAATAGCATATATCAAATAAGAAAAAAAATTAAAATACCATATTAGTATTCTGTTGCTTCTCACCTGTTCCAAATTAATATTGTTTAATCTCTGCATACCCTTCTGCCCATAAACCTCTCATTACTTCTGGATAAGCGAGAAAATAAAGAAGAGTACAGAAGTTAGTAGGGAAAAATTTCAGTATGTCATCAAAAAAGAGAATAAATTTACATACTAAATTACAAAATGTGCTATCGAAATCTTGTAGAGCAATGAAATCAATGATAGTAGAGAGTAAACAACTTCGATTCATTTTGGCAAATAAAAAGAGCAAAGCAACAAAAAAGATTGAAAATAGCAGCTTTAGCAGACGTGGATGATCCAATATATAATTGGACGAAGGAAGATTTCATTATCAATTCTCTTTATAATGATAGCGCTTTAAATCAGAGTAATCTTTTGAAAATCCAAATAACCCATCCTTCTGCTTGGTGAATAGACGAAAAGGAGATATCAAACTGCCTACAACATATGGTAATCGATCTTGTAGAGACATCTACGTCATAATCTCAAACTTTGAAATCTGTATCGCCAATAAACTAAATCAAAGAAGAATGAAATCCTTTTGAATCTTAGTTTGTTGATCATTCAAGCTTCTTGATATTTCAACTATCATTACGACAACATGCACAGATAAAACAGGAAATAAAAAACATAGAAATGAATACCGAAATGGGATATCAAGAGATTGATAAAAGTTTACTTGAAAAGAAATTGGAGGAGAGAAAGTGGGTAGATCTTCTTAATGGTGGCAAGCCGCCTGTCTGATTCTATTTTTTGACCAATTTGATTCATTTGTTACCTGATTCTGGACATGTATGTGCTCGACAAATTGAGCCTACTAATGTGTTCAGTTGTAGAATACCTAGAAAAAGTGGAAAAGTTAATCTGGGCCTATTATCAAAAGCATTGGTGGATCAGATGTAAATTGGATACATCTAAAAAATTATCCAATATAATAGAGAAACTACCAGATACCCATCGGTGCATTAAAAGAAGTGAAAGAACAGAGAAAAATTCACCACAATTAAATAGAATAAAACACACACCAAAGACAACTTGGAACTCAGATTGAGAAATGTAAAATAAAAAATAAAATAAAAACTAAACTACAGATGCATGTGCGTGCAAAATTTTCCTTAAAAAAGGTAAGATGGAAAATAAAATTCAAATGGAGCTAAGCAGAATGAGCAGAGCAGTAAAAGAAACACGGAACAGCAACCAAACCAAAGTATAACCAGAACAAACAGGAGAAATGATCAATTCACAAAATAAAGTAGAAACAGAGCGATATAATAGCAAGTAAGCAACTTGTATCCGTTTATGGCAAATTAAGTTCACCAAAGCAAAGAGACGACACTTTGGAGTGAACGGCAGAAGAAATTTGAGACAATTGGAAAAGAGAACATAAAATCAAGAATTAGTCCTTGAAATCTCTATACATAAAGTTAGTACATCGTGGTTTGCCCTTATAAACAATAGTACACGCCCTAAAAGACACGAAGATAAAATGATCAAATTAACCTAGAAAAGGCTCAGAATCTCCATAGTACCTTCTTCAGCAGAATCGGTTTCGAGACATCTCAGAGAATCCAGTCATTTGAAGCACTGCTAGAAAAATTTGTGCAAAATCGAATAAAAATCAAAGGCAATAGAAATTTCTAGACTGCACTGTACAATGGGAAGAAATTGGAGAAAAACAGGAGGAGTCATGGAAGGTAGGTGGGAGAGAACAGAACTTAGTATTTTACACAGTAAAATCGCAGTACGCGTGTTTTTCTAAAAGAGATCGGTGACTTAATTAACAATTTATCCCTAAATAAACTCATAATTACCAAAGTACCCATGTTCGTCCCTGTTCGCACACCCCAACTGCCGTTTCTAAATATTAGTAATGTTATAAATATATTATTTTATGGATGTTCATTTAGTACTCCGTTGTAAATAAGCTTTCTGAAAATGTTTATCCATATGGGACTCCACCGTAAATATGTTTATCTATTTAAGTACTCTATTGGAAATAAGCTTCCTGAAGAAGCTTATCACTTCGATACCCGGTTATGGATAAACATTACCCCCGGTAGAAGATTATCCATACCAGGTATAATAAGCTTATCCTTTCAGTACCCAGTTATGGATAAATATTACCCCCGGTAGAAGATTATCCATACCGGGTATAATAAGCTTATCCTTTCAGTACCCAGTTATGGATAAACATTACCCCCGGTAGAAGATTATCCATATCGGGTATAATAAGCTTATCCTTTCAGTACTCCGTTATGGATAAATATTGCTTTCAGTAGAAGATTATCCATATCTGGTATAGTAGCAGCTTACATAACAACTTTCTTTCTTCTATAAATAGAAGAGATTTCAGTTCATTATGTACATCAGTTTGAATTCGAATAATATATCAGTTTCTCTCTATACTTGTCTTTACTTTATAGTCTTTATTTTATAACACGTTATCAACACGAGACTCTGCCATATCGAGCAAATATTTTGAGAGTATCTGAGGTAAGAACTTTCTTTTCCTAAATAATGTCAAATCTTTCTAAACTTGAACTTGTAGCCCTGGATATATCGGGCCAAAACTACATGTCTTGGGTGCTTGATGCTGAAATTCATCTTGATGCGATGGGTCTGGCAGACATCATCAAAGACAAAAATCAGGCATCAAACCAAGACCGTGCCAAAGCAATGATATTCCTACGCCCATACCTTGATGAGGGCTTGAAAATGGAATATCTTACTGNACTATTAAAGATCCAGTCATACTGTGGAATAATTTGAAAGATAGATATGACCACCTGAAGATGGTCGTTCTTCCACAAGCATGATATGATTGGACTCATCTAAGGCTACAAGATTTTAAATCTATCAGTGAGTATAATTCTATTATATTCAGAATTATTTCCCAATTGAAGTTATGTGGTGATAATATTACTGATCATGATATGTT